TCTGGAGTGCCCCTCACCCTGCCCTGTAACAAGATCACAAAACTTTTAGGTTCAAAAGCAATTGATTGCATTTTTTTTCCTGACCCTGAGAGTGTTTTAGAATCTACTCTCCCATGCTTTAGAAATCCTAGAATAAGTACATAAATTAGAGTAGAATAATCACCAACTGGAGTTCCCATATCACCTACTTACTACAGACTTCATCTTGGGAAAATGATTTCTCCATGTCCTAGATTTTTCATGTATTTTCCTTAATTTGCTTTCTAGCAGAATAATTGTGATTAAAGAAAAGAATAATTTAGGGTCTCCCCTGGTGGCACAGGTTGTTGAGTGCAGCACTGTGAAGCTGTCCACAGCCCTGCAGCGTGGCTTGATCCCTGCCAGCCAGGGAGCAACCCACACGGCGCAGCAGACCTCTTCTGTCTCACCCGCTGCTCCCCTCAGCAGTGTATTTCATCAGTCTGCCTCTTCTGTTCCCCGCTCTGTCTCTGGTGAATCCTCTCACCATCCCGCACATCTGGCCTATACCCAGCATCAAGAACATGTAACAGTGTTGGCTCTGAAGTAGGCTGTTAGCAGAAGCACTTGTGATTGTTTTTAATTAGTTAACATAAAAAAACCCTAGATCCATTATGCTAAAGCGCATACATTTTAACTATATTATTCTTGTATGCATGAATAAATCTTTTTTAAAAAAGAATAATTTATTGTATTACTTCCAATTAACAAAAATGGATCATTGTTAAGCTACCTGCAGGTGTTCCATTGACTCATTCATTGGTTCAGTAAATACCTATATGCCAGGCTCTGAAGAGACACTGAAGACTGACTACTCAGTACTCTGCCACCAACTTCTTGTCTAGTAGAGGATTCCAGACAAATAATATAGCAAGATAACCCAATGATAAAAAAGCCAAAATAAGAGGTCCTTACTCAGGCCAGTGGACCAAGGGTTTGAAGAGTCAGAGTGAAGCAGAATCAAGTGAGAAAGAAATCCCGAAAATAGGGAGGAGCACATGAAAGAGAACAAGAAAAGACACAGTTCAGTGGGGATGGGAATGTGGTTGGTTCCAGGGGGCTGGAACAAGTGCCAGGCTAAGAGGTCAAAGAAACAGATCAATGATGCTACTGTGAAAAGGAGATAGCTTCAGTTGCCTTTAGGATTATATCGAAGGGTCTTATACAAATATTCTTTCTAGGGGTTGATAGACAAAAAGAAATAATTATAGACTATGATGAGTGCTATCAAGAAAGCAGGGCAGATGTATAAGGAAATAGGTAAATGGGGGAAGTGACTAATACTGGCACTGCCATGATCCAGGCTATCTCCAATTTAGAAATCTGGCCATGTTGCAGAAAACCAGTCAGGAACCTATTGCTCAATTCAAAGAGAAAAATTTGGATTGAAAGATTATATCCCAATGAATAATTTCCCCAGGTATAAACTGCATGAACAAAAATGGGGAAAGCAAGATCTAATTACATTTTTCATCAAAATTTAATAATCCTTAATAACGGAATTTATAGAAACAACACTGAATGAATTTCATTTATATCTATAACAAAGGGATTGGTATTTTTTATTTAAAATTAACTCTCCTTTGATCCAATTATCCTTCGATCCCATTATTGAAAATGATATTTCATACTGAGTGGAAGGTGATTCTTTATTCCATAAACTAACTTGTAAGACTGACAATACAATACAATTAGGATGAAGTTAAGCAAAGGTCTTATTCCTACAAGCAATCTTTTAAGATTTCAAGCAATTTAAACTTCTTTGCCAGGATTTACAAAAGAAAGTAGCTTTGTTATAAATCAGTTGGCAATGAAGCAGGAGATAAACTCAAATTTGACTCTCCAGTTAAGAAGGGGAATGAGATAATACAAGTTTTGGGAACCAGTGTTAAGAACAAATGAGTTAGTTTCTATTGCCTAAGGAGTGAGCCAAGGGTAAGGAAATGTGGATGACTAAAATGTATTGGCCAGTTACAGGATCATGTACAGACAAGTATAAAGATGCTTTTTTCCCCAGATAATTGGAGTTTTGAATTTCTGTTGATGGGCCACTCATCTCTGAGTATCCCGTCCTCTGCATGTGTATTTTCCTGGCTCCAGCCAGCCTTGGGACTCAGCTCAATGTTAGTTGTTGATGCTTCTTACTCAGGCTGGGTCATCTACAATGAACTGTGTCTGTGAATACAAACCTCAAAATAAAGTTCATTGTGTTTTTTCTTTCTTTTGTGCTCTAGGATCTGAGAGGAATTTAACCATTTAACCTAGGTTACATAGTTAAAATGTATGCACTTTAGCACAAATGGATCTAGGTTTTTGGGGTTTTTTTTTTTAAGTTAACTAATTAAAAACAATCGCAAGTGCTTCTGCTAACAGCCTACTTCAGAGCCAACACTGTTACAGGTTCTTGATGCTGGTGATCACTCCTCCATCTCTAATGTCTTACCAGTGACTACTGCTAATAAGTAACCAGTAAAAAAGTATTAAATGTTCTGCAGGGGAATTCTTTTTTAATAGTTAAAATAACTGATAAGCCCTGCTTTTATTTTTTTCAGGTCCAAATTCTTTCTTCAGGACAATATGGTACAAAGTTCTGGGGTGTCAAAATTCAAAAGCCTCAAGCATATTCAGTATTTCTGAGAAAACCTGTTGTTTAATCCATGGTCATCTAAAGCATTAAGTGGACATGTTTGTCTGTTTTTGCCTCCCAGCATTCATTTTTGCAACTTTAATCACATCTCCCCAGTTTTCCTCCAGGAAGCCCACCCTCTCTCCGTCCACAGCCACCAGATAAAGTTAGTACCCCCTCCCACCCTACGTGGAACATACATCCCACCACCAAAGCCATAAATCTAGCAGTCTCTTGGCCACAGTAATTTCCTTGGTGGGGCAGAAGTTGCTAGGTTCATGAGAAAGAGAAGCTCCCTCTCACCCTCCACAAGATTCTATGTCAAAAATTTGGGAGCATGAGAGCTCCAGAGACCATACCACAGAGTTTGAGAGTCCTAGAGCCCTCAGTGGCTTTTGCAAGTTTTTTATTTAGATTTACCAGGCACATGGCAGGCAGGGGTGCTGGGGGGGCTGGGAGTCTGGCAGTCCTCCCAGCCCCCAGCAAATCCTCACTCTATCTGGGCTCTCTGGCGTTCTCTGGTGGCCTTGTTCTCATGGTTCTTCTGCTTCTCTCTCAGCTTTTGCTGGCGTCCCCGCGATGCCGCCCCTAAAAGCCCAGTCTCAGCCCAGGTGAATCCCATCTACCTATGCCCACACCCTATTTCAGGTGCCCGCCATCAGACATGCATTCGGGACTACAGGGTTCCGTCATCTATCCTAATGATGGGAGGGCAGAAAAGCCTGATACTTTTTACCTTACCCTACAAACCAACATAGCAAAGCAGAGCCAAGAGGGGAACTTGTGAGCACTGGGTTCTGACTCATGGCTCACCTGAAGTCATTCCCATGTGGGTCTTCACAGTGACAAGAGCCAGTGAATTCCTTTCCTTACGTTTTTTGTTTTGGTTTGTTCTTTTAAGCTAGTTTATTTGAGATTTGGAGTCACCCACAATAAGAAGATTCCTGACTGGTGCATCTTAAACCAAGTAAATGTGAATGAGAACGCAAGTGTGACATCCACATCTTCACTGAAGTGTTGATATTAAAGTTCACACTGCTGCTTTAAACCAAAAAAAAAAAAAAAATGAATTATCAGCATTTCTGACACTCCTTGAAAAGTTCAATTTTGATATTATCTAGAGTTTCCCTTAGTTTTTTGTTTTTATTTTGAAGATTTGTATTTATTTGTGCATACAAGAACTGGGGTGTAGGCCAGAGGTACAGGAGGTGAGAGGATTCAGCAGAGACAGAGTGGGGAGCAGAGCAGGAAGATCTACTAAAATACACTGCTGAGGGGAGCAGCTAGCAAGACAGGAGAGGTCTACACTGCCATGTGGGGTCAGCCCACTGTGATAGCTTGATAGCACTTTGATTTTAACCCCTGTGCCACCAGGGAGAACCCCACCCCTTAGTTTTTTAATATGTGAAAAGCTGCAATTCTCAACTGGGTTCTGAAGTACACAGACTGAGCTTTATGTGAACTACAGCAAAAGTGTCACAAACACTAGATAAAATGTTGAAAAAAATACTAATCTAAAGGACACATTCATTATCCTCTCCAGATTCACCCAATTCTAAGGAGGGTTGGGGGGCTTCTAGGCTGCTGGCAATGCCCTGTTTCTTGATCTGGTAGCTGATCACAGTTTGCTTTGTGAAAAGTCTGTACTATAGACTTGATTTTTTTATGTATTTTAATTCAATCAGAATTTTTTACTTTTACAGCAAAGCCAACTTGAAGGGTTTCCCATTGGCAAAATTTAATACACTCTGAACCTCAAAAAGGACAATAATTGTAGCTGGTTATTAAATGAAAATACATGAGTCTAGGGAATGGGAGGACGATAAACAGGAAAGCTCTTCTTAAAAAAAAAAGTCACTGATAGGGCCTCCCCGGTGGCGCAGCGGTTGAGCGCTGGGTTGGGAAGCTGCCCGCAGCCTCTGCGGCGCCGGTTCGATCCCCGGCTGCTCCCCGGCCACCGGAGGAGGGTCCCGCATGGCGCGCAGACCTCTCCTGCCGCCCGCTGCTCCCCTCAGCAGTGTACTTCAGTCCTTCTGCCTGCTCTGCTCCCCGCTCTGGCTCTGGTGAATTCTCTCACCCTCCCGCTTCTGACTGTACCCAGTGCATGTATAAACAAAACAAACAAATAAATAAATAAATAAATAAATAACATGCCTCTATATAAAAAAAAAAAAAAAAAAGTCACTGATAAACATTAGAGAAATGACATGATTCGAAGACCACTGTTTCATAACCCCCAACATAACTGTCGATTGAGACAACAATCACCAGTAGAAGCTAGTCTTGGGATAAAAACTTTTCAGCAAACAGGGTATGTAAAAGTGCCAAAGTGTCCTTCCTTTTGAGGACCACTTACCTGAAGGAGGGGGAGCGCGGAACCTTCCCAGGGAGAAGTCAGGGGCCACCACCTCAGCTGAGTGGCTGCATTTAGCATCACAAATGATGAAACAATGTGACAGGCAGAACTCCTGATAGGATGTGAATTAAACCAGCAGTGGTCTTCTGGATGCCTGAGATCTTCAAGCTCCTGCAGCCTGGACTAAAAACTGCCAGATGACCTATACCAGAATCTCTGGGGTGGGACCCAAGAGTCAGTATTTTTAAAATGTCCCAGATGACTCCAATGTACATTCCAGGTTTTCTGATCAGAAACCAGTGCCCTGAGTTTACTCCCAGCTTGTAGGGTCTACAGAGCCAGTGCGGGAGGAACGCTGACTGCAAATTAGAATCTCCTGGAGAGTTTTGAAATTAGGGGCACCTGTGCAGGCAGGCTCTTCAGTTTTTTAAGGTAGAACTCGAGCTGTGGTGCTCCACACTTTAAGGTTGACTTAAATACCCTACTGTGAGAGCAGAGCAGGTCAATCCCTGCACCTGCCTTACAATGCCAATTAATCAAGGCAAATGGTTTGACATGGGACAGGGTTGAGGATGCCTGGGTTGAGAATGCCTGGAACACATGCACCTCTTGAGGAGACAGACACATCTACTCCGTGGGAGGTGATTTAAGGCCACATGAAAAGAGGTGCTCCAGGTGGACTGAACTGGCTCCATCTATGAGCTGACACTCCGTCTTGCTGCCTGTGAAAAACACATGCTGGACGGCAGAAACTGGTTCTCTCCTAGAACAAACTGTACAAAGATCTTTTTTGTTCCCTTTCCCTGGTAACAAAGGTCATTTTGTCGAAAAGTCAATGAGCTGTAGGGAATGTAATCTTTAACCAAGCCTAGTTCCTACAATTCTGTTCGTCCCCCCTCCCCACCTTTTTCCTTGAAATTCCTCTTTAAAAAAAAAATAAAAGGGCCTCCCTGGTGGCGCAAGGGATTAAGACACAACTTATGAAGAAATCCACAGCCACTGCAGCACGAGTTAGATCCCCAGCCAGGGAGCTACCCACATGGCGCAGCAGACCTCTCCTGACTCGCCCGCTGCTCCCCTCGGCAGTGTATTTCAGTCAATCCGCCTGTTCTGTTGCCCACTCTGTCTCTGGTGAATCCTCTCTCACACACATATACCACCTCTGGCCTGTGCCCCGGTTCTTATATGCATAAATAAATAAATCTTTAAAAAAGAAAGACACCCCAGCATAGCACAGTTTGGGCTGATACCTAGATTTTGTGTTTCCTGATCTACAAAGCAGGTCACACACTCCCCCGGTGGTGGGAAAGAACGGGGGGGAGAGGGTGTAGGCCAGAGGAGTGGGAGTGAAAGAATTCACCAGAGACAAGAGTGGAGAACAGGAAAGGGGGATTTGTTGAAATACACCGCTAAGAGAAACAGTGGGGGCCTCCCCGGTGGCGCAGCGGTTGAGGGCTGGGTTGCGAAGCTGCCCGCAGCCTCCGCGGTGCCAGTTCAATCCCCGGCTGCTCCCGGCCACCGGAGGAGGGTCCCACAAGGCGCGCAGACCTCTCCTGCCGCCCGCTGCTCCCCTCAGCAGTGTACTTCGGTCCTTCTGCCTGCTCTGCTCCCCGCTCTGGCTCTGGTGAATTCTCTCACCCTCCCGCGCTTCTGACTGTACCCAGTGCTTGTATAAACAAAACAAACAAATAAATAAATAAAACATGCCTTAATAAAAAAAATTTAAAAAAAAAAAAGAGAAGCAGTGGGCAAGACAAGAGAGGTGTGCGTGGGAAGAGGAATTTGGGGCTCCTTTTTATAACCTGTTTTCACAGGCTTTTCATCACTGGGGAGTCAGTTTGGGCCAGTTAGTGCTGGGATGTCTGGTCTTGGGCATTGACTTTGGACACAGAATGTGTCCTGGCCCTGCTTCCCTGTTCAGAATCAAGGTGATCAGTCTTTTGGCCTGGCTCCCACAGCAACCTTATCAATGCCCTTTATCTATTCAAGCCTCCCAAACTTTCCTGCTGGGCAAAGGGTAGGGGCTTAGATTTTAACCTTAGTAAATGATAGCCTAACACACACTTCCCTCCCCCCAAGTAAATGTTATTATTTTATTTTAGCTTCCTGGTGTTTTTTCTCAGTTGACAACCCAAATTCTTCAAAAAGTAAATGGAGAGGAGAGAGCAGAGAGGAATTATTCTAAATTAAAATGCGTAATAAAAAAGACATAATGTGTAGTGTGTTATTAAAATAGTTAAAAGGATATTTGGGGGGATGATTGGGAAACTTATAAATATTAAGGTGATTTTAGATGATTAATTTTTCTTAGTAGGGCTGACAGCACTGTGGTTCTGTAGGAAAATATCTGTATTCGGTTGCCCTGTAACAATCTGATGGATGCTCAGGATTCAGAAGGGATGTGCCAACACGGGTCAGGAAAAAAGGGTAGAGCTAGGTATAAAGAAATACAACAAATAAGACAATGAATAAGGAAATGTTGAATCGAGGAAAAGGACAAGGGGAAATTCATTGTACTAATCTTTCAACTTTCCTGGATGTTTGAAATAGTTCAAAAGAAAAAGTTGAGGAAACGAGAAAAAAATAGGGATAAAAAAAAAAAACCTACTCACAAGGCATACGTACCTATATTACTTATCTCTTGGGAATTTTCCAAGAAAACCGACTTAGAACTCAACATTACACAATAAGCTGCACACCACACCCAACAATTAAAACTGTATTTCTCAACCTTGGCTCACTGGATTTAAATACGAGTACCTGAAAAAGAACTCTTCTTTACATGAGTTTGAGAAATGTTCGGTAAGCAGGGTTTTCTTGCTATCAGACTTCTCAGAAATCTTGATATATATATATATATATATATATATAAAATACATTGTCCATTGGAGTCGAGGGAAGACACCAGCACAGTAAAGCAACATTTCTTAATCCTATTTTGTTTCCAACCCCTTTTTGATCAATGATCCCTTTTATCTTAGAGGAGTGTTCCCCATACACTTGAAAAAAATGCTAGCAGGAAACAGCCTCTCCCTCATGTTGCAATTCCTCTTTCTTTGATTAACCAAAAAGACCTGGATTTCCATCTGGGTCCTGAACACTTTGTAGCCCATTCTCAGCCAAATGAAGATCCATTCTCCAACCAGTGTGATTTCTTGTTCACCAAAATACAAAATATGTATTTTATTTTTGTTCAGGAAGCTATTTTTTATTTGTATTCACTGTTATATGTATCTCTTGTAAGCTTTGCTTCCAGAGCACTGAAGGAGTCTGTTTTACATTGTGAGTTCCTAAAAGAACCACCCATGTCTCCTTCCATTCAGCATTCAGGCCACAGATACCACAGATAAAGAGAATGTGCTGATATTCCAAAGCCAAGAAGGAAGTGGATGTGGACTCTTGTCCCAGGATGATCCCATTCAGCTCGGCCCCTCCAGCACTGCTGTTCACAGGCCTCTCTTCCTCTGCTCCTGCCCTAACCAGCCCCCACCCTATGCAAGGAGCCAAGGAGCCCCGCCTGCGGTCACATAGTGAACAAGCAGTATAGCTGGGATCTGAGTCTCAGGAGCTCCCACTCACATCAGACACTAAGCTTCCTGCAACCTTATCCTTAGCCTCTCCTCCAACTCCTGCCTCACTTCTCAGGGACCGGACTTTCAGGATTTCCAAAATAACCAGACTTAATCTAGTCCTGCAGCAGGCAGTCTGCACTTAAGTATGGCGCAAGGAACCTTACAAGTGGAAGGTGTGAATTCAGAAGCTAAATCATCAACAGTCACTCTTCCACAAAGCCAAGTCGCCCAGCCCTACGGCACATCTAACCTCAAAAGAACAGCTCACAAGTGAAGGGTTAATTACCAGTCTGAACATCAACTCAATGAGCCATTGCCCAGAACAAGTTGACTGGGTTTCACCACAGGTTCTCCAAAAACCAAGGATTACCTGCAACTCTCATTGAACACAGTTGAAACTCCTGGTAATTCCCCACTTACTCCTCTCCCTGCAAAACACAAAAGCACTGTAGATGAAGGCATATGGGAGTCTGCTATACTGTGGCCAGGTTAAGATTAAAAACTGAGCTTAAGGTAAAGAGACGAGAACTCATTCTCAGCTGATCTCAACCACAATATGGAGTCAATGACCAGAGAGAGAAAGGTTTCATGTTTTTTCAATTGGCCATGGGGCTGGGGACAGCATACAAATCTGTGCAACCCTTATACCTGCACCAGAGCCCCAAGCTCTTGGACTGATTTAGTCAAGGCCAGGTAAAGTAGAGCTTCATGATTACCACGTGTCCAAAGTTTACAGTCAATCCAAGAATTTAAATTCCTGCCCAGGATCTGAATCAGCCTGTGATTCAGGTACATGAAGTCAAAGTCATGGTGTGATGAAATGGTGGCATTTGAAGTTCAACTTCAGGCCATGCAAAACTAGTTCCTTCGCTTACATGGTTGCCATGCCTCTTATATCAAAATAATGGACATTGCTATCTGTTATAAAGACCATTTTAAGACAACATAAATGTGTACTGTTCAATAAGCATTTCATACCCACCTGCTCTGTATGATGTGACTGTACCATATCTAGGCATTTTAGGGACAGTTTTATCCAAATGTCATGGCAGTTTTCCTTCTCCCCTAAGTCCCAGAAATGATAAGCAGATTTTTTTTTCCCCACTGAGAAGAACTGGGGTGTAGGCCAGAGGTGTGGGGGTGGTGAGAGGGTTCACTAGACACAGAGTGGGAGCAGAACAGGTGATCTACTGAAACACAATGCTGAGGGGAGAAGCGGGTGAGACAGGAGAGATCTACTGCACCATAAGTGGGCTAGCTCCCTGGCCAGGGATCAAACTCAGGCCTTAGAGGTGTTAGCACTGAGACTTAATCCCTAGGCCACCAGAGAGGCCCTAAACAGTTTCTTATAAATTAAGTTGCAAGAGATTCTGAAATAGAAGACATTAGTCTGAAGGACTTTACATAGTCTTTTATCTATTCAGTATTAAGAACAATTAGAAGGGCCTCCCTGGTGGCATAGGGGTTAAGTCTCAGCACTATCACCACTAAGGCCTGAGTTCAATCCCCAGCCAAGCAGCTAACCCACATGTGGCACAGCAGCCCTCTCCTGTCTCACCTGCTGCTTCCCTTAGCAGAGTATTTCAGTAAATCCACCTGTTCAGTCCCACTCATTGCCTGGTAAATCCTCTCACACCCTGTACCTCTGGCCTATATACTCAGTTCTTCTATGCAAAAATAAATAAATTAAAATATTTTTTTAAAAAATAATGTAACGCTGGGTCTCTCCCCTGGTGGCACAGGTGGTTAAACGCAGCGCTATGAAGCTGGCCATGACCTCTGCAGTGCAGGTTTGATCCTGCCCAGCGGGCCAGCAAGATACCCACATGGAATGGCAGACCTCTCGTGTCTCGCCCGCTGCTCCCCTCAGCAGTGTATTTCAGTTAGTCTGTCTGTTCTGTTCCCCACTCTATCTCTGGTGAATCCTCTCACCCTCCCACACATCTGGACTGTACCCCAGTTCTTGTATAAATAAATGAATCTTTAAAAAAAAAAGTAACACTGCATTATAAAAGAAATTATTAGATATTAGTTGCATTAGTTTATCAAACTTCTAACATAATCTATTTCTCCTTGGATAGTCAACATTTAAAAAATCCAAATGGACAATCAATATCCCCCAGGTTAGAAAAGGTGAACTCAACAAGATCTGTCCACAGTTAAGCACGGTGAACACCATCTAGAAAGCATTTCTTTCTTCAGGAAATCACTTTCCATCATATCCAAGATGATTGGCAATGGCAGTATCCAATCACAACTTTTCCTGTCTTCCTTGAGCTTGAGAAATGGGTCTCCTCTTGTCTTTGCCAAAGGTACTTCCAAGCAGCAAACCTGAAAATATACTCAGAATGTAATACAAGCCATATATAAAATATAACATCTACTTCCAACTATGTCTTGTCCAGACTTTTATTTTAGGATCAAAATGCCTAGGCCACACTGGTCAGGCTCTCTGAAAAGGAAAGGAAGCTTTGAAATTTGACAAATAACATACGACTCTTGAGTTTTTCCGCCAGAATCTTCAGGGGCTTCCTGCCTACCTATTAAGAATACAAGCAAAGACACATCCAGTCTGCAAAAAAAGATCATAATCTATGAGGTGCACAGAAACATGCTTCGAATTAGCAGTCTGTATAATCACAAGAGGGGTTTTTCCAAAGTGTGGTGGCTCTGTGGAAGAGGGAGGTATTCACTATCTATAGATGTTAGGAAAAGTGACATAAGCAGTTTCTTGACTTTTTAACAGATGGAAGTGTTGGGGAAATGAAGGGAGGGCATTCTGGACAGAGAGAACCACATCAGCAAATGAACCTACATGTGATGTTCCCCTGTGTGTCTGGAGAATGGCATCTGATTTGGGGAAGGGCTGAGCAAGATGGGACCAGATGGTCGACTTCTTTGAATGGCAAATTTTATTAAAGTGATTTGCCCATTTTTTGTTCTTATTTTTTTGTTAGCTCTCTTCTCTCTTTTCAACATTTACACACATCCTATGAAGGAACTTAGGGGAGGGAGTATGTCCCAAAGTAGAATCCTAGATAGGGGGTTTCCTAGGCTCAGAAATGACCAGGGACAGGGTCAAGGCTGGTTGAGAAGCAGATTGTAAGCATCGGGGCAGGAGATTCCAGGTCACCACAGAATAAGAGTTGAGAGAGCTCCTTATTCTGGGTCCCTGAGACCTAAAAGTAGGACAATGCAGCCACTGGATAATAGCAGTAGATGAGTCTATTGACCATTATGAATTAACTTGACCCATATCATTCATAGACTAAAAATAATCTGTCAGATACTTTTGGCACTTTACGAACTAATAAAATTTCCTAAAAGAGGGACCCTTATGCCATTTTAGAGATCAGAAAACTGAGAGTCAGAAAAGCTCAGTAATTTACCCAAAAGCACACAAGTAGGAAGTGTAGGATCTGGGATGTGAATTTAATCAGCCCAACCCCAAAGCCTATACTTAATCACTTACATTAACTACTTAAGATGTGATTAAATAATGGTTCTATTGCCTTCTAATTGTTAGGAATGGGGGGAAAACCTTTCATTTGGGTTTCTCTGTACTTCAGAGTTGCCAAATTCTTCCTAATTTTTTAGACACCACCCCCCATAGCTCACAAGAGAGTGCTGGACACATATGCTCATCATCAAGTTGATTCGTAAGAACGCACATAAGAAAACATTATACTAGACTCATCCTAAAAAAGAAAATTCAGAAAGAAAGAGACTTGATCAGTGGGTTAGTGTATATGGCTGTCAGACTGCATCTGTCTCTCCTCTTGCATATCTCTTCCCCTCAGTCCTCTCTCTCAACTTCAGAGCTGCAAGTTGCTTTCTTTTCCTGGAACAGGCCTGGAACAGACTAATATCCTAGAATCAACTCAGTTCAATATCGTAAAGCATTCCTAGAGGGGGCCTCCCTGGTGGCGCAGCAGGTTGAGCGCAGTGTTGTGAAGCTGTCCACAGTCTCTACAGTGCAGGTGTGATCCCCGGCCAGCCAGGGAGCTACCCACATGGCACAGCAGACCTCTCCTGCCTCACCCGCTGCTCCCCACAGCAGTGTCTTTGGTCCATCTGCCTGTTCTGTTCCCCACTCTGTCTCTGGTGAATCCTCTCGCCCTCCCGTGCCTCTGGCCTGTACTCCAGTTCCTGTGTGCATAAATAAATCTTTTAAAAAAAAATTCCTAGCGGAAACAAAGTCCCCAGCAACTCAGTTTACTGCTAAAGGACATAGAAGAATAATAGCAAAGAAGGTGAGTCAAACAGAAGCTGTATAACCTAGGGCAAGTAATAAACCTATCTGAACCTCAGTTCCCTTGTCTGGGAAATGGGTAATGTAACCATTACTTAGAGCTATTATGAGGATTAAATGCAATTATATATATAAAGCTCTTAATACCAAGTCTGATACATGCTAACAATGTCAGTTGCCATGTTTCTATAATTAATCTTTACCTTCAGACTCTCAGGATCCAGCATAGCACTTGGCACACAGCTGGAGCTCACCACTTGCTCAGAGAAACAAGACAGAGCTAGACATAATGAGACACACATAAAATGATACAGACAGAGAGATACAATAAGAGAGAGACAGAGCAGAAAAAGACTGAGAGAACAGCCAAGAGCTGGAGGAAGGGAGAGACAGGCAGATGCCCGGATTGACAGACATGCCAATCAACTCACTGTACTGATTCTCTTGCTTGCTCTCTACATTTTCCTTCACTGGTATCCCAAATTATATTTCTTATAAATCAACATATCAATAGATGATAAACAAGGAGGTTGTATTCTCCATCCCACCACTACACTGGCCATGCTACATAAGGGAGATTAAAATGGGAGGAATTAGTGCCCACACCCAGCATGACCTCATGGAAGCATGAATGACTGTCTAAGGAGAGAGGTTCCCCAGGAGCAGGCTGTCCTGACACTCGGAGGCATCCATCAATAACAGGGTGGTGGCATGTTTGGTCAAGTTCAGGTTGTGAGGATCAGTGACCCTGAACTCATTCACAGAGGTCTCCTTAATGGAATGAAGACACCCATTTCCTTCCCTGGCAGAGCCATTGGGCAGCACCATAAAAACTCTTCTCCACAAAGGGTAAACTTTGTTTTTTAATATTTATTTTTACTTGTTTATGCATACAAGAACTGGGGTGTAGTCCAGAGGTACAGGGGTGAGAGGATTCACCAGAGACAGACTGGGGAGCAGAACAGGTGAGTTGACTGAAATACACTGCTGAGGGGAGCAGAAGGGGAGACAGGAGAGGTCTGCTGCATCATGTGGGTCACCTCCCTCACCGGGGATTGAACTCATGCCTTGGTGGCTGGCAATAGCACCGAGACTTTAACCCTGAGCCCCACAAAGGGTAAACTTTTGTCCTCACAGCAAAAACAACCCAGTCCTGCGAAGAAGACATTGAATCTAGTTAGGAGGACAACTGTGTCCTCTCTTTGCTGTACTGGCCTTGAGAATAATATTGATAGTAAGTTGTGAGGTTTTAATGCTGGCTTTGACAGCATATACACTAAAATTGGAAAAATACAGAGATTAATTAGCATGGCCCCAGAACAAGGATGACATTCGAATCCTTGAGGCATTCCATATTTTCATTTTAACACTTGTTTTCAAGACATTTGGATAAAATAGGGTGAGCATGGCCTCCCTGGTGGTGCAAGGGGTTAAGACGCAACCTATAAAGCAATTCGCAGCCACTGCAGCACAAGTTGGATCCCTGGCCAGAGAGCAACCAACATGGCACAGCAGACCTCTCCTGACTTGCCCGCTGCTCCCCTCAGCAGTGTATTTCAGTCAGTCTGCCTGTTCTGTTCCCCACTCTGTCTCCGGTGAATCTTCTCACCCTTGGCACCTCTGGCCTGCACCCCAGTTCTTGTATGCATAAATAAATAAACCTTTAAAAGAAAAAAAACAGGGTAAGTATGGATGAAGTCATCTTGGAACAAGCAACTCTTTAAGGGACATGTGTTGAGTAAATCATTGTGGAGAAGATCTTTTTTTTTTTTTATGATGCCAGAGAAAGACTGAATCATAAGCAAAGAGCTGAAGACCACCAGAAATCTAATGCTTAAACTTTCTAAACTACTAATCATGCCATGCCCAGTTAAGTGTTTCTCAAACTGCATGGGAAGAAAGGAAAGTTTCCAAAAGGATGTCAAACAGCTTCCAACATGATCTCTCTTTCCTCCAGGCAACAGGCCAGGAGAGAGCTGGTGCCACATCATCATATACAGTTACCTCCTCTCCTTCCTACTGTTCCTGTATGGCACTTTGACCATAGATCCTGCTGCCACTATGTCTCCAAACCTGGGAACTGTCCTCTGTCCACTAAATAAAACCCCTCTTGGCAAACAATAACTGTGAGGACCATTGAACTGATCTCTAACAGGAACCCTAAACTACTGTGTACCCCGACAAGGTCAGACTTTAATGGGGGTCTCTTGTCTTTACACATTTTCATTTCATTTCAGAAGCATTCCCCAGAAATAAGAGGCTCCCCAGGAGCCAGGAGTTACTCAGCCTACCATTTTATTTCACGTTCCTAACACAAGGAGGAACACCAACAAACAGATCATTTATTTTCTTCTCCAAAGAAAACACAGCTAATTTCAGAGGTGGTGGCAATGGTTGCACGACATGAATATACTTGGTGCCATGAAACTGTAGGCTTATAAGTGATTTAAGTGGTAAGTTTGTATTATATATATCTTACCACAATTTTTAAGTTAAAAGTTAAAAAAAGAATAAATTGAATGTAACATTAAAAAAGAGGAAATGCAGCTAAGTCCCAGGTAGCTTAATGATCACTGATTTATTATTGATTTTTTTTTAAAAAGAGAATTTCAGTAGCATAGAAAGGTCACCTATGAAAATGTATGCCCTTATATTAAAAATATGCTCAAATCAAAAATGAATATATTCTCTCTGGCATAAGAGTACTGTCCCTGAGTAAGATTTTCTAAACAAAGTCATAAGCTTTTCATTCAGAAACCGGTTCTTCCACAATTGCAGCTTGGAGAACATTCAAATCACAGGAGTGGCTGGTGAGGATTTCCAGTTCTCCCTTTAACAACAATCCACTCAACAGCCTATTCTCATGCTACCTCTCAAAATGTCAAAGCCTTAGTCCCCCATTAGCTTAAGTGAAAAATATCATTTGTTTTTGCAAATGATAAAATCAGAACAGTCAGAGCTTAGATCATTCCATAAGAGAAATTCAGATTCCATCCAGATCCTGAGCCACCCCCCAACCCCCGTCCTTACCTGCCTCTGGCTCAAGAACCTTTAAGAAACAAAGGTCTTTCACTATAAACTAATTAACTCCTATTAATATCCACCTACATAAGCACCTACTCTCTGGAATCATGCCTGTTGACTTCCCCAGGAGACTCTAACACAAGAAGCCCCATGGGGAGGTGGGGGCCTGAATGCAGCTTATTTTTAGGGAAGGGAGAAGGTACAATGAATTGTTCATACCTGTTGATTTCGCCTACAAGGAGTAATGAGTGACCTGCAGGTGGTCTTAGGGGCAGGTCAGGGGAAAGCTCCAACTCAGCCCAGATTCTAACTCACCATGCATGCCAGGCACTAATGACAAGGTGCATTAGTCAGGAACAATTCCTGGAGGCAGAAAACTCAATAGCAAAGTTAAAAAAGAGAACAGATTATGACTGTTTCTTGGCCAGCTATCTACAGAAAGAGCTCTTTTATCCTGACACCAGGCCAAGCAAGACTTAGAGCAAAAGAGAACAATGGATTCTGTCAGGAATGAATCTCCCAGTTCAGTTCCCTGCCACCCTGCCCACAATGGTGTCTGCATCTGCTCTAGATTTCACATCTTCCCCTCAGTTTGGGGAGTAAAAATACAAACCATCCTCTTCACAACAAGAGCCAGTCTACCCCTTGAGTTCTGCCTCCCTCTCCAGCCCCTTCATCTGTCCGGTCATCTCTCCTATCTTTTCTGCACCTCCCTTTCCATTGCCATGTTCCCTTTAGCACAGTGGTTCCAAATATTTGTGGCTCACCAATCTCTTTGAGAAGCAGGTAAGTTTTGCATGCCATTTCTCGGGGGGGGGGGGGGGGGGGTGTGGTAGAAGCTCAGAGCTCATGAAACCCAGACAAAGCACCCCTGCTTTAGCAATTCTCTTCCACCTTAGACCTTAGCTGCTAGTGAGCTCCCTCCTTTCAAATCAAGCTTCTAGAACACACTCTGTGTGCCCCATGCCCTTTCCTTTGACAATCCACTGCCCTCACTCTACTAAAACAAATCCTGCTAAAGTAACCACTGATAGCCCAAATGCTAAACCCAATGAATACATTCCCCTGTTCCTTTTCCTCTCCTTCTCTCTCCATGTTGTATCTCACAGTGCTCTCTTCTCATATCCTAAAACTCATTTCCTTGGTATCTTGACATCACTGCAGCAAACCCCTCTTAGAGCACAACTAACAACTTCTTTTCTAGGAAATTCTCCGGTCACCCAGTTGGGTCCCCGCCACCGTGTTTATAAACTCACAAGCTTCCACTTCACACTATGGCTGATCAGCCAACCTACAAGCATAATTTCCAAATCAAAATCTCTAGCTCGGAATTTTTTTAGCTCCAGGCCTGTGAAACCACCCTTCCACTTGACATTCCCACCTGAAAGTTCCATCAGCTCCCCACACTACACTCCAAGCCAATCCACCTCTCCTCTTCCCCCCAAAACCTGCTCTTCTCTCTTTTCTTTCTTGACAAATACCAAGTTGACTAAGCCAGAAACTTCCCTCTTCCTTGCCCCATATCTAATCAAGTTTCAATTCCTGTGTCATCCTAAATATCTCTTTTGCTTCTCTTTCCCACTGTCCTGATCATGCCCTCATCTCCCAAACCAAAATATTATAAAACCATTTTCATTGGTCTTTCTTGCCTCCAATCTTGCTGCCTTGCAATTTATTATCTATCCTTCCGGCAGAGCAGATTGTTCTAACATAAAAATCTGCTATTGTCAGATCATATGGTATTTCCATTTTTAGTTTTTTGAGGAATTTCAATCCCATTTTCCATAGAGGTTACAGCAATTTACATTCCCTTACCAACAATTTGTTCTTTCAGTCTTCTTGATACAAGCCTTTCTCACAGGAGTGAGGTAATATCTCCTGGTGGTTTTGACTGCATTTCCCTCAGCTCAAGAAACCACCATAGAAACTAAAAGGCAACTGCAGACTAGAAAATATTTGCACATCACAGGTCTGATAAGGGATTATTTTCCAAGTATATAAAGAACTCATACAATTCAACAACAACAAAAATCCAATCAAAAAATCAATAAGACCCTAAACAGACACTTCTTCAAAGAAGACATACAGGTGGCCCACAGACACAGGAAAATATGCCTAACTTCATTGTCTTTTTTTGAAAAATACAGTATTTTGTATGCACAGGCAGTGGTAACTGAGGGCAATAGGAGACTTTAGTCTTTTTTTCCAACAAACAATCCACATGTTTAACTTCTACTATAAATTATGATTATGATGTGCAGTGAGTTTTAAGAATAACAAAACAAAAAACCCAAAATGGTGTGGTATTCAGAGCAAGTCCACCCATGACTACTTTTCTTTTTTTAGAAGATTTTTTTTTACAGATTTATTTATTTATACATACAAGAACTGGGGTACAGGCCAGAGATGTGGGGAGTGAGAGGATTCACCAGAGACAGAGTGGAGAGCAGAACAGACACAGCCACTGAAGTACACTGCTGAGGGGAGCAGTGGGCAAGACAGGAGAGGTCTGCTGTGCCATGTGGGTAGCTCCCTGGCCAAGGATAGAACTCATGCTACAGAGGTTGCTGATAGCTTCAGAGTGCTGTGCTTAACCCCTTGTGGCACCAGGGAGGCCCCCACCATGACTTCTTGGCACTCAAAGGAAGAGCCTGCTCTAAGAGGCACTGGGGGCTTGATTCCCAGGGGTATTAAATTATTTGAATAAACCCCCTATCTGTTGACTGAAAGAATGTTCCCCTCTCATTCTTGGCACCCTCACTTGGCTGGCAAAGTCAGGGATATTTTTCTAGTGAACACTTCTCAGGGCTTCTCAGGGCTGTGACTCATAGAAGGTGGAGGAGAGGAGCCCTCAGGGGCTGGGTGAGCAAGAAAACCAGACCGCCAGATGTGCAGTGTCTTACTCAGGCTTTGCCTTTCCCAGAATCCTGGATTCCCATTGTCAGGAAAATGTTCCTAAAGAGGACCCCCTTATCTCCTTCTAAAGAAGGACATAGGCAGAGAGATGAAACCAAGGGCTGTGAGCCAAATGGGGAGGGCATGGAGAACAGAGAGACTCACACAGCAGCGGGGACCTGGCTAATTGGCTCAAAGTATAGAGTCACGAGAGAGAGAGTAGATAAGCCACAGGCTGGGAGAAAATATTTGCAGAAGACATATCTGATAAAAGACTGCTATCTAAAATATACAAAGAACTCTAAGAAGTCAACAATAAGAAAAGAAACAACCAATTTAAAAATGGGACAGACTTGAACAGACACCTCATTAAAGAAGATAAACAAATGACAAGCATCCGAAAAGATACTCCACATTATATGTCATTAGACAATTGCAAAT